ATTACTTTCATAGAATATTCAATTTTTCGTACAAATTTAGATCAAATCTCCTACTTACTTACTTACGCCTGTTACCCCCAATGGAGTATAGGCCGCCCACCAGTTTCCTCAAACCAACTCTGTCCTGGGCTTCCCTTTCCAGTTCTGTCCAATGTTTGTTCATTCCTCTCATATCTTTCTCTATTTCTCGACGTAATGTGTTCCTTGGCCTTCCTCTTTTCCTTTTGCCTTGAGGGTTCCATGTGAGGGCTTGTCTCATGACGCAGTTAGGTGCTTTCCGCAATGTGTGTCTTATCCACTTCTACCACTTCTTCCTGATTTCCTACTCCACTGGAATCTGGTTTGTCCTCTCACACAGTTCGTTGTTGCTGATGGTGTCTGGACAACGAATCCGAAGTATTTTGCGTAGACAACTGTTAATAAACACTTGCATCTTATGGATGATGGCTTTCGTAGTTCTCCAAGTTTCCGCTCCATACAATAGAATTGTCTTGACATTTGTATTGAAAATCCTGATTTTGATTTTGGTTGACAGTTGTTTGCAGTTCCAGATATTTTTCTATTGTAGAAATGCAGCCCTCGCTTTGCCGATCTGCGCCCTCACATCTGCATCGGATCCACCTTGGTTGTGGATGATGCTGCCCAGATATGTAAAGGTGTTACCGTCCTCCAAGGCATCTCCATCAAGAGTGATTTGGTTGGTGCATGTTGTGTAGCATCGGAGAATTTTGCTGTTTCCTTTATGTATGTGGAGACCTACTGCTGCAGAGGCTGCTGCTAAACTAGTCATCTTCTCTTGCATTTGTTGTTACGTGTGCGATAGAAGAGTCAGATCGCCTTTGAAGTCCAGATCGTCCAGCTGCGTCTTGGATGTCCACTGGATACCGTGCTTCCCTCCAGATGTTGACGTCCTCATAATCCAGTCGATCACCAGAAGAAAGAGAAAGGGTGAGAGTAAGCAACCTTGCCTGACACTGGTCTTCAACTCAAACGATTCTGTCAGCTGACCTCCGTGCATGATTTTGCAGTTGAATCCATCATAAGAATTCCGTATGATATTGACTATCTTCTCAGGCACGTCGTAGTGAAGAAAAAGCCTCCATAGTGTTTTCCTGTCCACGCAATCAAATGCTTTTTCATAGTCAATGAACTTGATGTAGAGTGCTTAGTTTCATTCAATTGATTGTTCCACAATGATTCATAATGTTGCAATTTAGTCTGTACATGATAGATCCTTACGAAATCCAGCCTGTTGATCTCGAAGTTGGGCGTCAACGAAGTCCTTCATTCTGTTTAACAATATCCTGTTGAAGACTTTGCCTTGTATTAGAGATCAAATCTCGGGGTATTAAATATTCTGTATTTTGAATTACCTAATGCACTTGGATCATCTAATTTTGTTAAATGCAATATTCCCATTGTGAAAATTAACATTTTCATATAAATATCAATGTATATTAGAGTAAAGCCTGATGACGATCTAATCGAAAACAATATTGTTCGCTTATATGTGTTGTTCTAAAATGAAATATTATTATGACATCATGTAACTAACTATTATATAGGTTTATCGATAATTCCTTAATTTTTTGTACTGAATAGAATGGCTTTTCGCTTAATTTGCACGGAATACTTAACAGACTAATGCTTAATTCTTAATTTTAAACCTTGGTTAGATCTAGTAACATTCATCATAATTACCGAATAATAATAGTAATAACGGCTTTATTCAACATTGTATGTTTAGCACAAAATAGAATTCTTAACACAGAATATTTATACAAGTTACCCTTTCAATGCATATTACCAACCACCACAACTTCTTGGATTGTACGTTTATTTTCATCTTGTGAAGCGCCTAGATAGATTATGAGATTAATAAACGTAACTGACAAATAACGAGGTAATTTAGTGAAGTACTCTGGTGTTTAGAAAAGAGACAGAGTGGTTGTTCAAGCAGACCACCATTTTCAGTCGAACTTTGACAATTTTGGATGTTAATAAATTAGCAGTTTTGTTCTGCATATGAAGACCAGAAACAAATAAAACATCTGCATAATCGATCAATGAGACATTTTCATCACACAACATGTCACGTGATAATCAATAATAGAGAATTTAAGGATCACATGTTAAATAGCCTAGCTATTAATAGAAAATTGTGTAATATTTGTGTTAAACTGAACTTAAGGATCACATGTTAAATAGCCTAGCCATTCATAGAAAATTGTGTAATATTTGTGTTCATATGTCAATTACTGAACTGAAAATGAGTATAACACATGATAGATATGATTTAAACAGTAGAAAAAAATCCTTAGCAGCAAATATTGAGCTTTTCCAACGTTAGTATTATAAATATGTTACTAAAATAGATTATGAGTTTGAGAAAACGATCTTTTCAAGGTGATCTTGTAGTGAACAAGTTAGTGAACAGAGTTACTCAGTTAAATCGGAAAACCATATCGTAAATCGTTCATTTGCAAAATATCAGTCCATCATATTGAACTGGACTGTTCCTGTTGCCAATCATCAATCCACTGTCACTATTCATGCGTTTCATACAAATTCCATTGTTTTCTAACTCTTCCTTTCTTGATCTTCCCCCATCTTCTGCTGCTAGACATTACGTTGACACTCACGTCATATACTACTTATAAGTAGCTCGCACCACAATCTAATTTAGTTTAACATAGCACAACAAATCTCAAGTTTTATTGTGAAATATATTACCAGATTATCATTTCAGCTATCTTTTAAAATGTTAGGTTATTTGTTTAATAGTAATTGCATCTTACAAATAAGTTCAAGATTTTAAACTTAGTCTTGTAAAATGTTGTTTTGCTGGTAAATACAGAGGATCCCCATATTTCGGACAGTTGTGAAAAGTACTAATAACTAAATTGGCAAACCACACGACATTTATATCTATCATAAAAATAGAACTAGAATTCTAGAGTTTTTATCAATATTTAGACTAGCTAAAACATTCTATTTATAACCATATGAAGTTAGAATTACAGAGAAATCACTAATTTTTACACACTTCAGAATAGAATATACATGCCAAGTAAGAGTTGGCGCGAGAGACCAAAGGTTTCTGAGTCCGATTCCCATGAACCTGGGGTCATGGATGTGCATTTCTGAAGAGTCCCATAGTGGGACGAAACATACCTTTAATGCTTCCAGATTATTAATAGTGGTTTAACAATGAAGGATTCATGGTGTCAATGATAAACAACAATCTCGATAACGCTGTAACAAAAAAGTGTGGTTGTCATAAAGAGTTACGGTAATTTTAATGTATCTACATGAAATATTTCATAATGAATGATAATTTCTATGATATTTTATCACACTAATCGTTAATAAATTAACCGATAAAGAGTTCTATTAATTAATGATTAGTTTCACATGATGATAAATGTTATTTAACGTGTGTGTCTGTTATTTTGTAAATATTTTGTAACATTCATATTCACACTTTTTTAATATTGTAGATAATTTTCTTAAATAAAACACGTCATTTTGTCTGACTAGTTATTCTGAATCTTAGTATTTGTGTATTGAAGGCTTTGTTTTAGTCACCGTTATTTACTTCAGTACACTAATCACGTACATTCAAGTGATCATTTGCAGTTTATACAAATGTTAACTATATTTATGCGTTACAACAACCTTTAGTAACCTTCAATTGACTGATTTTAGAACAATGCTAATATCGAATGTACGTGTAATAGTTGTTAGAAATGAATCACAATTCTGTTTACTCATTATACACATGGATAAGTAAGACAATGACCTATATAGTATAAATATGAATGTTTTTTAAAACGCATACACTTATACTTGACAATAAATTAGGTTCACGTATTGTTTATAAGTAGTTGATAATCTAATTTATCGGATATATACAATGGAAATGCAAACATAAATCTGTTGATTAAACTTTATAGATGTTATGCTTAGGATTTAATCATTTTCATATACCCCTGGATTTCAATCAAAACTAATTTTATTATTGATTCTAAATATCTGTTTATCTTAATAATTCAATTGAATGTAACATTAGAATAAATGATTTATGCTAAGAATATGATAAAGATTCATAATCATAAATATGATCAGGAAAAAAAAATCATAAGAGTTAAAATTCACAAAGAATCATGAAAAAAAATTTTCAAAACAATAAGTCCCTTTTATAAATTTTGATAGAACAGTGAAAAGACGTTAGAGATCTAAAAAAAATGTGATGTATTTGCGCTATGTACATTCCGAACAATCAAGTCAAATTTATACTTGTCAAGGCATTTTATATGAAGATTAATCAAAGGTCAATTAAGTAAAAAGTTCAAATAGGCATAAGGGAATAATTGTAAATGAAGGTAAGAGAGAAAATTAACGTAATACAGAAAGAATAAGAAAGAGTAGGAAATTGTCACATTTCCCTAGACCATTCAATGGTTTAAAGATTATCAGGGTAAATTCAAGGTTGTAACAAATTGTTTTTGTACACATAAGGGGGGAGTTTTAATTTACGAATAGCCAAGGCTTTCATAAACCTCGAAATTCGTTCTTCATATCAATTACGTCTTCTCACTGTTCTATCAAAATAAATTTTAGTAGTATCGTCAATATTTAGAATAATCACTGAGGTTTCTAATATCGCATTGTTGGAAGTATTATTCAGTCAATCAACTGACGCAGTGACCGTACATCTTGACGAATTGCAAACTGTATAAGTCGCTATTCTAAATGTATTAAAATAATAAATTATTAGTTTTTCAAAATGCTGTTTATTTCAATGAAAAATTTAGGCATATCAGTCATACATTCCCTAACACATCTATTTTGACATTAAGCCGAAAATTTATTGATATCATATAGATGTGAATAATTAAATAAATTTCTAATCGATATTTGAAGCATTATCGATTGATTTCAGTTTATATAAACACGAACTTTCAATTGTTTCTCCTTTTTTTATTTATGTTTTAAAGTATAGACAAATGTCATCTACTTCAGCATACCACAAGAGTATTCGATAATGCTGGTTATTTAGAATTTCGTGGAGCTGATGGAATTGAGATTTTTGTACCACAACCTGTTCCAGTGAGTGATTTACCCTCTGATGTTATTCATAGAATATTTGTAAAGGCATGTCAAGTACTATTCAAAAGTTTCACCCTCAAATTTTAGTCTTTAAAATTTTATTTTTAGAACAAACTTAATATCTATTTAGTGCTGTCCTGTTCAACAAAGTTTATCTAGATTAAAATGTAATTAAGGAAACATATGACTGTTTATTTTAGGCTTAGATAAGTGAAAAGATTCTGTAGATCTACCAGAGATAACCAAATCATCGAGTGTGGAATTTTAGAGGCAGAGGAAATGTCAAAATACAAATGTGATGCGAAATGCAAACCCTTTTGATGTGAATCAACAAGGGTTTAGGAATTAGTGTATCACAATCAAACGTCATGGTGGTTTACTGCTCTTTGGTATTGATTACGTAAATCAATGATAAATGAAGCGAATTTTGACTGGGAAGGTTTTAAGATCTAATGTTTGAAATCGCATTATTTTCAATTAGAGTTATGGCGTTCGCGCACAAGACCGAAGTTCCCGGGTTCGAATCCCGCAAGGTACATGAGTCGTGGATGCGCACTGCTGATGAGTCGCATACCAGGACGCAACGACCGTCCAGTGCTTCCAGGTCTCCATTGGTGGTCTAACAATCACTGATTGATGTGTTCGAATCGTATTATTGCTTAGTAAAATCACTTATCATATCACTCTTGATTTCAGATAATACCATTCAGAAGTTTCAGCTCACAAATTTTCATGTACTGTAACGTGTGATATATCAGACTTCGAAACAAGAAGTGTGCTTAAAATGACTCTCGAAAATTTAGAATTTTGAAGTACTTCTACTGGATTGGTTTGTATTTAGTTTGATCATAGTCAATTCAGCGTTACATTATGGCTTTTGAAGGTTGGAAGCCTTGGAAGCCTGTGAACATTATATACCAGATGTCCTTGGCATAGAACTACTAAGATATTACCAACATTCTTGTTGCATAAGATATCAAATCGGCGAAATTATTGACCATTAGGCTGAATATTATAGAGAATGTACTCACCTCATCATAGTAGCTTACAAGACAACCATAAGGTATAGTCAGTCAGTCAGTCAGTTGCAACGTAGAACTTCGTACGTAAGTACGTACATCAGTTCATGTTGCCATACCACATCAGCACAGAGATATAATTGTCAATTCAAATCCAATAGTAGAAGAGGTAGTAAGGGAATTAGAAGTAATCGGAGAGGTTGGGATTGGAAGATATTATTCACGAAGTATGATTCAATGAGATAAGTTTAGAAAGTAAAAACTAGAGGTGTTGAAGAATCCAGAAGATTAGGATTTGAGAGAACACAAAGAATAAATGCACCGGCGCCATTGCGAACGATTTTGAACCATGTCATTCAAGGTCTCTAACCATCGATTATTATCATCTCGCGGACCCCAACCAGGTAGTCGACAATTACCGACATGGCTCAGTCCACTCGTCAATGACTTCATGGATTTCTGCCATGTTTTGGTTTGGCCGCCCCTAGCTTTCTTCCAACCTATTCCTACACTACAAAACAAAGCTCGACGAGGCAGTCGGTGGTTAGGCATACGCAACACGTGTCCCAACCACCTCAACTGATGAAGTTTCATTACTTCATATATTGATCTGCCATTCTTACCTAGTACCCGTTTCCTAATAACAGCGTTGCTCACTCGGTTGTCCCACGATATACGAGCAATGCTTCATAAGGTATAGTCGAATCACTCAGATCATAATCTTACATGAATACTAAAAATGTAGATTTTGTGTCTAATAATCGTGACAAATCACTCTTCAAATTTCTTATTAACTGAAATTGTGCTACCATATACTTCAGATAAGTAGTACTACTTACTCCAAATCAGTAGAGATAAGTTTTATCAAAAAAATTTCTTTTGAATCATCATTAGTTTGTGATTGGATCAGTTTTCACAGCTGGAACGAATTAAATGCCTATTAGTCAGGAATATGCTATTCACATATGTGGTCAAATACACATATAAAAACTAAATTTCCATAGTCTATTTTCTGAACATCCTATTAAGTTCAATAAGTTTATTTTCACAGAAATATTTGATTCACATTTTATACTTTTTTCGTAATCTTTATTTTTCCAGAATGAATACACCTTTACTTTGGGTATATTGGAACAAGATATTTTTGGTTCGGTTGAATTGATTGGTACATTGGTAGCCAATCATTTCTCATTATTTCCAACAAACAATTGGACTAATATAAAAATTACCAGAGATAATGATCAATATAAAAATACCATTTAGTAAGTTTAACTTAGTAAAAAAAAAATTGAATAATTTGAATGAGTTAGATTTACTCTTCAACATTGAAAAAAATTCAAACTTAGACTGCATTCCAGTTATTCTACTTACTATGTAGCAGCATGCTTATAAAGTTATGTTGTCTTCGAGTACATCTAAATTGAACAATGAATGAACAATAGTGAATGATAGTCGTCAGTTCTAGATAATATTGAATGATAAGAGTAAACCGAAACTAATGACACCTGGTTGGTTTAAAAAATTACTGAGAAATTGCAATCATGATAATAATCAGTTTGTGTGATGAATTAAAAGTAGAAACCACGATAATAAGTCTTTGTTTAAATTGAACATTGAACTATGTAAAATAATTGAAACAATTTACAGATTATATAATTGTACTACTAGTTTTTCCCATACCTGCAGGAATTCAACAATATATGTAAGTAATTAATATGTGTGAGGGTGTCAGTCATAAGTGAAAATTAATTGAAAAATGAATATGCATTATAAAGTGATAACAGCATTTTATCATCAATTATGTTAGAAGCAAATAAATTCTTACTTTTTTTTCAAATTATCTACCATTTTTCATCAGTATTCCTTCGTCATCACTTATTTGATGAATGAGTGAACTTTAACTGCTGTAGCTGAACTAACTGCCGATCGACCACCCAATCATGAGTCGATTTTGACGTTTTCGCAATTCACTTAATTAAAAATTGATCATTAAACGATGTCAATAATTTTAATTCTTTTCTATATGGTTCGTTACCGACAATAAAAGTTGTTAAACACTTGTAATAATCCGTTAAATAAAAGATCAGTTAGTTTTGCCGAAACTTTTGAACAATTGAACATCAATTAAATTCTGTTTTTTGTACGAATTAAAAGAATAAAAATTTTTCATTCTAGCCCTATTAGTTTGGAGATATAGCCTACCTGTTTTACTAGGCAAAAATAATAATTTTATAATTGTTGAAACGAAGTACTTTCAAGTATGAATACCGGTTGCAATCAAAGTTAACAGCTATGGTTTCATATCTATTGAATCAAAAGATTTAACTACCTGAAGGACAACGTCAAACACCGTATTCTGCGATAATTTTACTAAGTTACTCTGCTTTGATTAGTGTTGAAGAGCTCAGTCGAGCACTTTAATTAATATCGCATCCAACTTACACTGATAATTTATCTTATTGAAAACTTATAATCTCATCAACCTTAAACTGATTGGTCGCAAGTATTTGGGCGTCGATTTAATAATCTAGAAGGGAACTAAAACTTTGCATGATTTCAATTCAAGACCAAATATATCATATTTTTGATTATTTGAACAATATACTTAGAAAATATTTGTAAAAATATTTTAAATAAAAATAATCACCTCATTTTCATGATTATTAGTTCAATACATGAATTACAATTTTTCCAAGCGATTTATTAGGTTTGTCACTAAGTATGCTTGAAACTATTATGGGTTCACCTTAGTCGATAAACTAGAGCTAGACAATGAACCAGCGTCCAGGTAGGCTACCTTGATCCGTTGGCTAACCAAAAAGGCGTATATTCTACAAATACCCAGCAAGCACAATGCATTCAGGCACACGGATCTTGTTTATTTATACATCATAGAAACGTCCTTGAGACAGTCACAAAAATAGCACACTAAAATACACAGTAATCAATCACAGCCAAGGATTTTCCTGGTGGGGAATGAAATCCCAAGGTCAACTGATCAGCCCTTGCTCGCAAACATGAAATACAAAATAAGGCATTTATCAAGCGAGATCTGGAGATCTAAAGTCCCCAACACAATCATATGAAAGCATGTTTTAATTAACTGTTTATTGTCTAGTATACCTGTTGCTTAATTATCGAAGTTAGCTGAGTTTTTGCTCGAACGATCCGCATGAATTTAATTAGTCCGTTTTCAGATACTCTTTGAATCTGTTAGAATGGAGTGATCTAATATGTGGAAAATTGATTTTACTTCCTTACTTTGAAAGTTACCTTAGAATGACCACAATATTCAGAATGTTTTTAACAAACCATCATATAAAAATATGGTAATAATTTGAACGATACTACTGGCTAGAAACTGTCGAAATATAGTGACCAAATTCTGAAACATTTTCCAGTAAAAACTGATAATACTCATGAAGTTTTATACGGAATTCTGATTGCGAATATATTAAAGTCCTGCGGGTACACCATCGGATACCAGCTCTGTGGTCTGGGAATCTAGTGTTTGCACATTGGATCAAAAGTTTTAGTTCAGTTTCATGTGGTAAGGTCATAAATATGCATCTCAATAGAGTTTTATTCTAAGATGAAAACGTTGTCTGATACTTCATGGTTTTTACCAGTCGTCCAACTAAAAACAAATAGTGATTTTAAGCCTCCAAACTGGAAGGAATCCAAGAAGATGTTACTTGTGTTTATTAAAGAATTATGTTCCAATTAAAAGACGTAAAAGAAGTATCAATTTGCTATATTAAGAGCAAGTGAAATTTGTATGAGACAGTGTCAACATCATTTCGATGAATTAATTAGTCAACATACGTACGGAATTATACAAACCACTGACTGAAATAACGTTTGATAGCTGTCGAATCTGGTTGATTCTTATTTCATCCGACGCTATCTTGGTTATCTAGGTGATATGCAAATACAGTGAGAATTTATTCTACGGTATCATTCTGTCACTTAAGTTTCTGTGACTGTTGATACAATCTACTTTGAATTACGGTCATAGAATCTCCAAAAAAATAATAGTTAATTATCAGTAAGAAGTCACTTTGGAAATGAAGATCTCTTAGTACACTTGATTAAAATTTATTTACCGAACTGATATTCTAAATTTATTTTTCACTAATAAGTAAAAGAGATTTATTAATTACCAATTACATATTCTTAATTAGTCAAATATTTATTTTCTAAACCTGATTAAAAAGTTCATTTATAAGTTAAATGAAGGTTCTGATTGTCGATTAACATTCCAGGCAAGATTGTTTGGATTGAAGTTGTTCTATATCAAAATAAACCAATATCCAGCGAGATTTAATAGAATTTTAACAAGTTAATTGACTGAATATCTATATATTAGATAGATGACTTTCTTTATTGCAATCTTTTAAAGAAATCATGAAAAATCCGAGAAAATAGTGTATTTGCTGATTCTAAAACGAAGTATATCATTTTAGCACCTAAAGACCGTGTAGTTTTAATAAGAATTTACACTTTCATGAATAATTTATGGGATGATTCTGTTATCTTTCATTTTGTGGTATCTTTTTTGTGGTTTGAATTTGTTGTCGCTTGAAATAGAAATACTATGAATTTACATTCTAAAAAATAAATACTTTATTCACGACGAACTAAATGCTCTAAAATAAATAATTTCATTAAAAAAAGGAAGTTCTTATTATTTTTGATTATTTCTTTTCTATTTCTTTAAAAAAAAATTCAGTGTTAACGTACGAATGCGGTTACGTTGCTTGCAAAACTACTTTGGTAAACATTGTCAAGTTTTTTGTAAACCCGAACCATATCGATATACTTGCAGTTCAGATGGTTCATATATTTGTTTACCAGGTATGTTTACTCAGTTGTCCAAAAAATTTAGTGATTTATATGCCGGAACGATTCTTTCAAATGACAAATTCTTTAGTTTTATAAAAGTAGAATTAAAAAAGGGAACAATTTGTGCATATTTCAAATTCCAATGATCACACCATCTCTGATTACCATCTCATAGGGATTCGAGGATGATTATCCATTCGTTTCAGAATTTAGTGAATCAAAAGGGGAATGTGATTTGTCTTCCAAAATGTAAACTTATTCAATAAACTGATGATATTTATAAATTTTCGACATGAATACCTGAATATATCTTTGTTGATAGATAGTGATGTTTGAAGTTTATATTGATTCTATCTACTTGTCATAAAATGAGAGTGCCTAAATTACGCGTAGCATAATTCAGGTAACGTAACAACTTTAAGTAGACCTAATAAAAAACCGTGAATTGTGTTAACTGGTTTATTTTTATTAAAAAATATCGGTTGTCATTTCAGATAAGTCATCTGGGTATATATTTTAACAATGTTTCCTGTTGGGGATGTTGGATCCCCAGAACTCGCTTGATAAATATCTTTACTTTGGATTTATTTCATGGACCGATCAGCTGACCTTGAGATCACTTTTCCCACCAGGAAAATCCTTGGCTGTGATTGTTTACTGTATCGTTTTAGTGTGCTGTTTTTGTGACTGTCCCAAGGATGTCTCTATAGAGTATAAATAAACGCTTGGATTCATTGTGTGCTGGCTGGGTATTTGTAGGATGCAATTTCTACACTGTATCGAGACTTCTTACTGATACCTTTTGGTCAAGGGATCAGAGTGGCCTACCTGGACTCTGATTCATTGTTTTGTTCTCGTTATTCGACTAAGGTGAACTCGTAAAAGTTTAAGCATACCTAGAGATGAGCGTAACATTTCCTCAATTGACAAAAATAATGCAGGCAAGCTGATAAGTAACATTGTTTACCTATTAATTTTCAGTAAAATATAAACTTTGCGAACATAACTTATTTGAATGGTAGTATTTGTATGTCATAATACATTGCATAATGCATTACACTGAAGTTTCGTAACTTAAACTGCTTGAACATGTTTTTGACACACAATGTTGCCTTTTCATATTGACATTTCACCTGAGATAGAAGAGTGGAATTCAAAGTTCCATCACTCTGTGTCATAGTATGAAACTCCATGAACGTGCTGCAAAGATAGAAACTAGGCTTTTCAAAAATTTAAATGTTGACAATTATCACTTCATGTGTGCATGTTGACCGATTTAATGTTATCTAAGATTCAATTCTGATCGAATTCTGTTTGTCATGGGTTAGTAGTGTATCAAGTGTTTGCGAAATACTGATTTAATTGTGCTTATTCACACAATTCACTTTTATTTTGTTATAGTTAATTGAGAATAAAATTTGTTTTTCTATTTTAGGGCTTCGAGGACCAAAATGTGATAAAGAGGATTCGTGTTACTTTGAGCCATGTGCTGATCATGCTACATGTGTAAATAAGGATGACGAGACTGGACGAATCTGTTTATGTGGTGGAAAAGAAAGTCAGTCTTTTTTTAAAATTTTCAAGTCTTTTAATCAAAACTTGTTGGCAGTTTATGTTACTGAAAGATAGTATAGTAGTAGTGTGATATAGTATAGTAGCATAGAAATGAAGCGATAGTTTCTTATCAAATAGGTAAAAAATGTATTTTTTAGCAGTTCTAAATCCTGCTATTTACTCTGAATTTCGTTAACATATATTTTAACCATATTTCACAGAGGTTACATGCTCTTCATTTTGAATTTGATAAAGTTTTGTGATTACTTTCAACAGCATCGGTTTTGAGTGAATGATATGTAATTATTTTTCGTTAAAATGATCAATTTTCGAGTTTTTTCACAATGAACAGTTTCAACTCAGTGATTTATTTTGACTGAAATCGCAAACTGATCTAAGTTAAGTAACTGTTGAAAATGAAGATGCACCAGACGTTCGTTTTATTCTAAAAGAGGAAGCTTTATCATTGCGTAGCCGGTACCCTGCAAGTGGAAATCGACTTCAAGGACTTCGATATCTTGTGCAACTACCGGAGCTAAATGGTATCACGTTTAGGAAATGCACTCATCGAATACAGTGTGAGATAGTTGCGTTATATCATGAAAAGATTGAAATGGTGGAGAAGATTTGTAGCTCAGGTGGATGATTGAAGTTAGACTTGTGCTCCACTGAGCTTTGTCTCAGTAATCTTGAAATTAAGTGTTCATGCGTGATCCCAGAAATCTTCCGTCTGATTCTTGGTTTTGGGGTTGTAAAACTGAGGTGTTCATTGCTAGACCGAAACGACCGTTAAGTGCTCCCATATTTTCGGTGATCATCCATATTAGGCCGGTTCATGATCTCAGTGAAATTTAATAATCTTCCTCAACCCAAATTGATAACATTCATGACTTTGTTGAACTTCTACTTCAACAGAACCAGAATGTTATCCCAATTACAATCCATGTGATTCAAAACCTTGTCAAAATGGTGGCGAATGTCAATTAGCTGGACATTTTAATGAAAGTTTCAAATGTCACTGCACTGAACAATGGAAAGGTCATAAATGCACTGAAAGACGTTCAGCATGTTTGGAGGAGGCAGCAAAGATTCAGCGTAATGACAGTCATTTGTCCATTGACCATTTCAGCAATTCGACTGAAGTAACTTCTGTCTGTTTAAATGGTGGTACATGTTTTGACCATCCAATAAAATTTGAGGTTCGCTGTGTATGTTTACCTGGTTGGATGGGACTTAGATGTGAAATACCTGTAGAAGAAGAGGCATCAGTAAGAAATTTTTTGAACTCATTTTTTTTTGTTATTCACAAACTTGTGATTGTAATAAGTGTATTTTGAATCAGTTTATTTGAGCAGCAATGCTATGCCTTAATAAAATTCGTCTATTTCTGGCGAGTATAATATCGAAGGACATATACAAATGACATCCGATTACGCGTATTGTGGAACATAAGCATACTACACCGAAGTCTATATGAACAGACTTGTAGAAATTATTCGCCTCTTAATGGAAAATAGACATTCCATATAATTTGTTAACTTGCAGGTTAAAGTGAAATTTTTATTTATCTACTGAGCTAATTTCTATTAGAGTTGAAATGACCTTTGGGTATAGGTAGTAACATCTGACATTTTAACAATTATTTCTAATAGGACGTGCATATTTTCTGACTGTACTTAAATCCCTCTCTGTTATTGAAAGAATAATATTTGTAACCCAATTTGTCAAAGTATTTCAACAGATAACATTTGTGTTGGTGTTTGTTTGAGCAACTTGTTATCTAGATAGCCATCTTTTCAGAGATATCAGAAGATAAACGAAATATTATATATATATATATATATATATATATATATATATATATATATATATATATATATATATATATCGTTTCTCAAAGTTATGAATTGTGATCAGTAAAGGTTTTTCTTATATGACTAGAATTATAATATTCCGATTTTTTTCGCTTTCACAATGTGAAACTGAAGGTTTTATTCACCTAGTTGTTAGTAGTATCGCTGTCCAAACTTGAAAAATGATAGAATTCATGCGTTTTTCAAACTTCAATTTATACTTACCAGTGTATTGAGGTTTATATTTTCTAAATTTTACAGAGAGTGAACTGGATATTATTCACACTTATGGGGGTCGGAATTATTTTGTTCATCATGGTCATTGTACTTACAATAGGAGTTATTTGGAAATGTTTCATCAAAAAGTAAGTAGGCTGTGTATTCACGGTGTCCAATATATATATATATATATATATATATATATATATATATATATATATATATCCAAAGTGCCTTTTATGTTAATAACATATATTTATATAAATTTTGCATAGGATACTATTAACAATAATACACTAATCTTCTAAAAACTTCATTAGTCTCTTTTTTAAAAGTTGTCAATTATACTTTCATGAACAATCTTATAACTAAGCACATGAAATACGCCACTAATTTACTATCAACGCAGTTACGTAACGTTAATAGTAATCAGTCATCTAATTTCATTATAAGGAAAGTACCTTATTCAAGAAAAATAAAAATTTTGTAACAGCATATATCTATAAGGAGATAATACTCAACGAAGATTTCAATTGTTACTACCGAGATATGAATCTGTCATAACTGAATGACATTTTCACATTGGAATTTCATCCTGCTCAATGTTATTTTTAACACTGATTTATATAGATTATTCTATCTACGAATTTACCAAACACTTTAGCAAAATATAGAGTAATACATTGTTTTTTTTTCTCCTAAAAAAAAGAGATTTTATCGATCTTCATTCTGCAAACTGTCAATTGATCCTTACTAATAGAATGTTCTGTCATTTTTGATCTATAACACAAAATCAATATAACACAATGAATGCATCGAATCGGATAAAGAAAATTTCTATCAGAAATCGAGAATATTGTATTTTTTTGAGGCTTATTCTTTATTAAAAAGACACTTTATATTAATTATTAGAACAAAATGCCTATTTTAGTGACGAATTGACTTTGAAAAAAAATGAAAAAACGAATCGTACAATTTACATTCGTGTCATTAGTATGTTTCTTTACGATTAGTCAAATATTTTTTACAAAAAAATGCATATTTGACAATTGAATTTACTTGCAGATTCCCTGCAAAACTCAAACAAAATTAACCTGAACTTGTCATTCATTCGTCAACAAAGCATATCATTCATTTCAACATGAAAACTACACACTAATGTGTTTTGTGTTGAATACGTTTTGTTTAACCATAGTTTTATTCTGTGGTGATTTTTCATCAAAAATGTTTAGCGTTTTTTTGAATACTACACCAAAGAAATTCCTGGTGTTCATTATAAATAATAATAATAATAATATCGGCATTTAGCATTGAAATATTTAAGAGTCAATTTCAAAACACTCTAGACTAATTCATTCTTTTGATATTAGATTTTTTTTTCGACGTGCATTAAGTAATCGTTTGTAAATATATATATATATATGAAAATATTATTTATGTAAATGCATCATAACTAGATGAATAGAAGTAGGTTTGTTTTTCGCAATAAATGAATGAAAAAATTAAAATTAATAATAACCGATTATTTTTGTTAGATTCATAACATAAATAAATAAATATCAAGCCAAATGATAGTAATCTATGTATGTAATTGCGTGTTACAATCATAATTTCAATAATATTGAAATATATATACAGATATATATATATTTTTATTATAAAATTTTTATGATTTTAATTCATTAGTTTAATTTTTTTTATGCGTTAATGTATAATATATCTAATTCTCCATTATTTGGTTTATGGTTTTTAATGTAACTAACTAATTTTGGTTTATAAATCTAAGTTACATACATACTTGAAATCATAAAAATCTATCAAAGTTAGACTACTATTAGAAATATGGAAGCACTGGACGGCTGTTTCGTCCTGGTATGAAATTCATTAGCAGTACGTATCCACGACTCCTGCACCTCGCAGGATTTGAACCCGGGACCTTCGGTATTGTGCGCGAATGCCGGTATCTAACGGTGTTAATGTCAAAACTTCGATCAATTCACGGAGTTGCGTAACCTCATACACTGTCTTTAGGAGTAACTGTCTACACCTGAACAGGTTGAACTTCACTGGTTTCGACTTCCCACTAGAACTCGTAGAAGGTTCCTCACGGAGCTAATAATCACTAGTGAGCACATGTAATTGCATTACGGCGTGGTGAAGATTGTTAAGTTACACTTTGAAATCATGAATCGATCAATGTATGTGTATGTGTACGAGGTTGCACAACTCCGTGAATTGATCGAAGTTAGATATTACCACCGTTAGATGCCGGCTCAGTGGTCAAGAGGTTAGGCATTCGCGCGTAAGATCCGAAGGTCCTCGTTTCGAATCCAGAGAGGTGCAGGAGTCGTGGATACGCACTGCTGATGAGTTCCATACCAGGAGGAAACAGCCATCCAGTGCTTCCAGATTTCTAATGGTGGTCTAACTGTGATCGATTTATGATTTCAAATATATTCACAACATAATTATCAAGCTACGTGGTAATTGCGCGTTACAAGAATAATTTCAATAATCAGAGATACAGATATATATTTTTATTAGTTTATACTTTATAGAATTTTTATGATTCAATTCATTTGTTTATTTTTTTATACTTTAATGTTGATACATAATAATTCTCTATTATTAGGACAATTTAATCGTACTTTCATTTCAATGGTTTTTAATGCAATTCATTTTCGTTCAAAATCTAAGTGTTGTAATAATTTGAGACTTTGTTCTGTAAAATTTTTAGTCAATGTATTTACTAGAATATACTTTGTTCGGTAAATAAAATAGGTGCTTAACAGACTGATATTAGGATAAATCGAAGTGAAAATTTTTTCATAATGTTGAAATGGTGGAAATGCTTAACATTAAACAATAGTATATATCTAATTTTATCTAGATTTACTGTTCTAAATGACAATTACCTTTCTTATTTAACTTAATTTTATAGAATAATCCTGCTTGCGCCTTTTAGCTGGTATAGAGCATAGGCCGCCGATCAGGATTTTCTAACTAACTCTGTCCTGAGCTCTTCTTGTCAGTTGTTCCCAAGTGTCATTCTTTCTTTCATATCGGCCTTCGATTTCCGACCTAATATTTATTTAGGTCTTCTCCTATGGCTTTGGCCTTAAGGATTCCAAGTTAGTGCTTTGCTTGTGACACACTTTGATGATTTCCACAATAGGTTTCCTATCCGCCTAGAGTGCTTCTTCTTTATTTCTTCCTCAGCTTGATTCTGGTTTGTTATCTATCACAGCAGTTTATTGCTGATTGTATCTGACCAACAGATCCAAAGTATCTTGCTTAGGCAACTGTATCTTGTGAACAATAGGTTTGGTAGTTTTCTAAGTTTCAGCTTCATACAAAGGAACTGCCTTGATGTTTGCATTGGAAGTTGTGACTTTGGTATTGGTTGGCAGTATTTTAAAGTTCCAGATATTCCTTAGTTGTAGATATTCCACCCTCGCTTTGCTAATCCATGTTCTTATATTAGCATCAGACTCCCCCTTTTTATCAGTGATGCTACTGAAGTATGTAAAAGTTTCTACATATTCGAAGCTTCTCCATCAAGTGTAATTCGGTTGGTGCGGGTTCTTTTGTATCGGAGGATCTTACTTTTTGCTTTGTGAATGTGGATGCCTACTACTTCAAAGGCTGCTGCCGCAGTGATTGTCTTTACCTGCAATTGTTAGGAGAGCTAGGTCATCTACCAAGTCTAGATCGTCCATCCGCATCTGGGCTGTCCACTTTATACCTTGCTTTCCTTGAGAAGTTAAGTTTTTATAATCTACTAAAGCATCGAATGAAAAAGAAACTATGAAAGTCAGCAGTCTTGTCTGACATCGGTCTTCACTTGGAATGAATCTGCGAGCTGCCCTCCATACATAATTTTGAAGTTTAATCAATCGTGAAAATTCTGTGTGACGTTGACTATCTTCCAGGTGCACTGTAATGTCGGAGAAGCCCCCATAATGTCATCTTTTCCACGCTGTCCAAGAGTGGTAAGTTCCATTCAGTTGATTTTTGCACAACGATCCATAGTGTCGCTTGCGGTTCGGTCGACCTGCGATCGATCTTTTTGGAATCAGGTCTGCCGATTTTGAAGTTGAGCTTCTACTGGGTTACTTATTCAGTTTAACAACACTCTGTTGAAGACTCTCCCTAGTATTCACAGTAGAGCGGTGCCTCTGCAGTTCTCACGCTTGCTGCGACCTCCTTTCTTTGGTGTATTGATGAGATGTGTTTCTTTCCAGTCTGCTGGTACTTGTTCTTCTTTCCAAATCTTAATATTCAGATCGGGAAGTATTTTTTTCAATTACTTCTATGCCTGCTTTTAGTTCCTCAGCTGGTCTCGCTACTTTGTCTCTCTTGCTTTGTCTGATAACCATGGTGACGTATTCCACCTGTGGTGTGTCCCACTAATCGTTTCCAGTGTGTTTCACTTGTTTCAAGCAATACCATGTTGTGCCTTTTCAGTTTTGCAGCAACTTGGATGACTTTCCGCGTCTAGCACAATGTACAAACATTCCATGTGCATTTATTAATAGTTACTCTGGTTGTGAGGAGTAGCATCGGTCCCATGACTTCCGAAGGAACTAGGCTTTTACTATGAATTATCATAATTCTTCTAAATGAAGACTTTCCAACTCCTAGGACAGAGTTTAAATGACTAAAATTGTTTTTTCTAATTAACGACTTTGTAACAAGTTGTTATTCTACGGGATGGTTTCCTACCCCACGGTCAACGCTCCTGTAGTGTGCCGATTTCGAGGTGTTCTTAAGTTTCGTAATTAGCTCGTTCAGACAATCGTTACTAAATGGCATCTGACGGTTATAAATCAGAAGGTAAACTCGATGTGTTGAACACGTTTATTTTGGCACACCGCAAAAAGGGATGGCAGACCACAAGCAGACCGGACAGACACACTAGCGAGTGAATGTGCGAATGGGCGAATGAATTAATAAGATAAAAATGTTCGTATATATACAAAGGAAGATATCTGAGTCATCGTGATATTTAAGAGATTAATATTAAAGCGAATAGGATGAATATGTGCGTAGGTGTAAACAATGTTCAGTCATACCAATTCATACATACCACACAATAATAGAAGCCAATGGTACATATGAGTTATTGTTATACAAATGACCTGGTTAAATAAATTAACCGAAAGGCTTGACCTTATAAAATGTAAGCGAATTCAAATATATGTGAGGTCACTACACTCCTCCTCTATCAAGTAGTCTTGGAACTAGCAGTAATCATAAAAGACCTCCTGCTGGAGCTAATCTACTGAAAGCGTTTTTCATTTAATGACGTGATACCGAATTACTTTCATAGATTATTAGTACATCAACCAACTATTCTAATTGCGATTTCACGATTGGACCCTGTTTTGCTATTGTAAGTAAGCTACATGTAAGCTAAATGAGTTATATATACAGGGAAACAGTTTTTGTCATATTTTGAACGTGCCCTCCTTGTTTCAAAGTTATTTTCATTTATGAAAGATACTATAGATCACTTAAACTATTGTCTTTTTCTTGAAATTCTTATCTATCGTTTTTTATATTGATTATTTTCAATACAGACGTAAAGTTCAATATCCAAATAAACATGATGAACCTGTTGTACTATTTCATAATCCTCGAATTTCAACACAATCGAATTTTGGTAGTTCATGTCCACTGAATCAACATTTTATGAATATCACCTATGAAGATACATCAACTATTCCACCATTAATTAAAAAACCATCAAATGGTGCTTATAGTAAACAATTAGATCCAAGTCCAATACCTGATGAATATGATGAATGTGATCCATTAGGTTTAATATACTCTGGTGCTGGAATTTATGAGACTGGATTTCCACCAGATGAAGATATTGACAATAAAGATGATGATCAATTAGCATCAATCAAAAAATCGTCTGATCCTCCTCCTTTACCTAATCGAACAGCAACAATATATAATGGTTCCGCATCATCAACAACTCCAATGATTTACGACTCCAATCATCCAGCCGATCATCAAAGATCATCACCATCTCCATCAAATTCAAGTAGATTTACAAATAATTTCAATGATTCCACTATATATCGATCTATTAGGAATACTGATATTGTTGTACCGAATGTGTCAGTGCTTAATAATTCACCTAGTTTTAACAATCAACCAAAGATTTATAGACGAACTTCCAGTGTTTGTGATGCATAAATAATTTTTTGTTTGTTTTTTTTCCAGCTATTAAAATGAATCTCTTTTTTTTGGATGATTTTACTATGTATGACTGACTGACTGACTTATTGACTGGTTAACAGCTGAATTTGAAGATAAAAATGATTTCACTGTCTCTCTCTGTCTCTCTCTTCTATTCGAAAGCAGCACAATCATGTTTTAGCAATCAATAATTTTTGTTTTTGATAACTGTGCAGTATTTTCTGATTTCTCTCTCTTGTTGTTTTTGTGTTTTTTTTAAAAATTCTTCTGTAATAATTTTACACTGTTTCATCATTTTTATATATTACAATGATTATTTTACAGATAAATAAATTTGTTGTAAACGGTAACCTTTTAAATAAAGTTTTTTTTCTAAAAAAAAAAACAGAAATATCTTTTGGATTAGTTCAATATTCTTGTAACGGGTAACTTCATTTGTGTTATCAATCAAATGAGGTTTTTTATTTTTTTTCCTCATAATTTATCATCATCAGTATCAAAAAGAAAAAGGGATTGGTTTGTTTCGATTCTTTCCAATAAGTAAAACACATACATTTATGACATTTTCAGTGGAAATCTGTTAATGTTAAACTAACTGGTTGAATAATTATCATTAGGAAACGAGTACTAGGTAAGGATGGCAAATCAATAGATGAAATAGTGAAACTTCATCAGATGAGGTGATTGGGACATGTGTTACTGCCGCGACGAACTATGTTTTTTGGTGTAAGGGCAGGTTGGAAGAAAGTTAGGGGCGGCCAAACCATAACATGGCACAAATCAATGAAATCATTGACAGTTGGACTGAGTCATGTTGGTAGATGTAGGCTACCTGGTTGGGGTCTGTGAGACATAAATCACCAATGGTTAGAGACCTTGAATGACATGGCTGAGAATCGTTTGCAATCGGGCAGGTACATTTATTCACTATGTTCTGTGAAATTCTAACCTTCTGAATTCCTCATCATCTGTATCTTTCTTTTTCTAAATTTATCTCACTGAATTATACTTCTCGAATTATATTTCCGAACCGTAATCATCTCTCTTACTGCTAATAATTTCACTATGGCTACCACTCTATGATTTGAACTGACGGTTGCGTCTCTGTGCTAATGTGGTATGGCAACCTGAACTGATGTATGTATGTACGTACGAAATTCTGTGTTGTATCTGTTTGTCTCTCTATAATTATTATTTCACTTAATTTATATTTATGTATATATATTACAAAGCTTTATGTTTCAAGGTCAATAATATTCACTTCATTAGAAAGTGTTTTCTACTGCAATGCTAACATAGAATTGAATCATTCAACATGTACATAATAATCTAGAAAGGATTCCAGCAGGAGGTATCAATCGTATTTTTAAATTCTTCAACTTTTTAATTAATCATTATGCGAAATTATATTTTAACGATGAAATTTGTATTTAATAACTATTACATTGGCTATTATTTGATATATTTTTTTAATTGAATGAATTGACTGAATGATTGACAATACAATCAGATCAAGTAGTTGTTATAAATAGGAAAAATTTAATCATTTGAAATGAATATTTAAAAAAAAAGTATTTTGAATATGCTTTACTTTGTTAATTAATAACAGAAAATGATTTTTGAATTCCCGGTTTAACTGATAAGAATCTTTTTTCAATGTTTTAAAATGATTGAGTTATATTTTGTATAACCTTAATATAAGTTCTAAAATCACTCACTATCCGTTTACTAATTCATTACTCATAGTTTTATTCGGGATAGTTAGTTATTCATTGAGAACTTATTGGAAATAAGTGACGAAAACTGTGATGCTTTAGTTTGTGACGTCCGATATGTGCATTCCTAAGACCTCGAACGTTATCAAAACATAACATTTCCAGGGATTACCATTCGTATGATGCTTTTAGACCATTTCATTGGAATCTAACGTTTTATATTTGGGAATTGAGACAATCAAATCACACTATGCCATTAATGATACTTACTTGATTATTAGAAGCCGTAAACTTATACTATGTGACTAAGTAGTTTTCCTTAGGATACAGCAATGTAACTATTGTTCCTAGAGGTATATGAGATTCATGTTCCCACAAGGAACAATAGTTACATTGCTGTATCCTAAGGAAAACTACTTAGTCACATAGTATAAGTTTACGGCTTCTAATAATCAAGTAAGTATCATTAATGGCATAGTGTGATTTGATTGTCTCAATTCCCAAATATAAAACGTTTGATTTTAATGGAATCATACAAGTGGTAATCCCTGGAAATGTTATGTTTTGATAACGTTCGAGGTCTTAGGAATGCACATATCGGACGTAACAAACTAAAGCATCACAATTCTCATCACTTATTTCCAATAAGTTGTCAATGAATAACTAACTATCCCGAATAAAACTATGAGTAATGAATTACTAAACGGATAGTGAGTAAGTTCAGAACTTATATTAAGGTTGTACAAAAT